ACATATAAATAAACAAAAATACTTTCAGATTCATTAGAATCCACTTAAACAAGTAATTAAATACTTTTCAACTTACATTAGCAGAGTGCACTTTTCTTTTGTTTACAATTTGGTTGCCAAACACACTACAGCTGATCGTTTGACACATTTACCAGAACTTGCCAGCAAAAAATCTTCGGACTAATACTTCTGGTAACCTCTGACAGAGAGAGGACCTTATTTACTCTCTTTTTTGACCTCTCAATACTCAGAGAACCGAGTACGGGATCGATTTCCAATAAAATCTGACTGATTCTGACTGATTTCTGCCTAGTCCAGACTCGTATGGGATCGCAACTTATATGTGGCGTCGAGCGGATGATGTTTTAATAGAATAGCAGCTAAGGGCCCACATTCCTCTCTACCGTTAGCGAAATTCTTGAAAGAACCCTACGAAGGCCACACGCCTGTGCTGCGAGAAGCGGCCTAATTGTGAAACTAGCCAAGACAGAACTTATCTTATTTATAAACAGACACGAAATTCCACAATTCAAACTACCGTCGCTAGATTGCGGCAAGGCACTCTCATTATCTCCATTAAACTTAACAGAAAAATCAATATTGAATTTCGCAGACATAAGGCCCCTCTAGCACACTATACTTGCAAGATAATCTTCAGTAGAAAGTGGCGACTAAACCTAAACTTGTGATACGGATGTATAAAGGCTATCCTGAATTTAATCCCTATTGATTTCCACTTGAAAGAAGTAGCTATGAAATCAGCCTCAAACTCAGAGAGTCAGGCCTTTAGAGGACCAGACACTTCGGACATGTATTGATCATAAATAAAATGCAATTAGGGAGGACGAAAGACCATACGGTAGGCAATTTGGACTTCAGCTGTAACGTGCAACTGTTATTCCTACCCAGAAGGGACTGGAGAAGAGACCGAGTGGCCAACCCAAAGGGAGTCTTACGCGAGGAACTCGGTGTGGCTCTGTCTCTACGGTTGGGAAATGATGCAAGCAGGGATCCTAGAAAAATGTAAAATACTAGGCAATAGAGTTGGGCACAAGAGTAAAACAACAAATATATTCTGACAGCCAGGCGCCGCTATTAGCAATAGCGTCACCACTTGCCAAAGCCAGGCTAGTTAAGGAATGCAAAGTAATATTGAGCTCAGTGTCTCAGTCAACTACCGTCTCTCTTGTCTGGATTTCCGGACATAGGAACTTAGAAGGCAATGAGAAGCCGGATGAGCTGGCAAAGGCTGGAGCCGGTTTGGATGAATCCCAGGCGGTGGCACTGGGTTGCGTTTGGAATAGTGCAAGGAGGGATTGCCCCGCTTTACTTCGAACTGGCTAGACGCAGGTGGTCAGATATGCAGACTTGTAAGATATCGAGAAAACTATGGCCTGACTACAACAGGGCAAAAACCTTTGACCTGCTTAGCAGATCAAGGCCAGAGGTATTTAGAATTGTAGCAATCATCAGAGGGCACTGGCCCATAGGCAAATATGCGGCAAAAATATGTCCATCCCATAATATGATATCCCCAGCGAAATGTCACATCAAAATGGTGCAACAATGCGCTAATTGTGTCCTGGGCAGCGACTAGGAAGCACTGCAACCAACCAACAAATATGTATATATATTTTTATAAAGCCTTTTCACGAACAATTCGCTGTTAACTTATACCATTTAGTATCAACGACTAATAAGTTTACACTATTTCTCTGCATTAAAAAATTTACGTAGCAAAAAGAAACTATTTTTTTCGTGTTTTGTTAAAATATAGCAGCATCCATTTTTGGAATCCAAAAAAAAGCAATACTGCGAAAAAAGTATAGATATGAGCGTTATGCTTACTAACTGTGACGAAAAATAGGATACCAAAGTCATTTTAATATCTTGGTTAATTGAGGTTAATGCCTGTTTAGTAGAAGGTGGTGTTGCAAAAATTGTTTAAATTTTAAGTTTCATATAACTTCCTGCAAGCGTAGCAGTAAGTTTAAGGTTAAAATTACATTTGTTTGAAAGCTTAGCATTCTTTTGAAGAAAAATTATGATCAAAGGGTTCATAACTATGTACCTTTACAACTCAAACAATACGAAATTTTTTATCTACAAAGCGGCGGAACGTAATTTTCAAAGCATTTCAAAGTTTGAGTATCTGCCAGCAATGAAACAATTTATCTATTTATTTCAAACTGGGATGTGCCTTTATTTTTTTAACCTCGACCAGGGTTCAAACGCGGTTCAACCCAAAATAAAAAAAAAAAATTAAAAGACCAAAAAGTTTTTTATAATAGCGGTCGCCCCACGGCAGGCAATGGCAAACCTTCGAGTGTATTTCTGTCATGAAAATTCCCAGTCTGCATGGAAATTTCCTCTACAGTTCATCTAGGCCGCCGCTTGGTAAATTTTCTTAACAATGTTCTCACCCAGTAGCCTCTAGACCAGTTTCCCATACAAAAATTAATCATAGATAATCGCTGCGCTGATCAGATTCTCTTAACAATGGTTATCTCTCGAAGAGCCAGAACGCTCATTACCACGCAATAAATTGACTTGAGTAACCAGTTCAGGCGCTAGTTAGATTTTCTCTAGTAGGTTTACATTGGCAGCACCAGGAGAGTATCTGTCTTGCAGCAGCCTAAAAAGGGTAAGCTTGACGGGTGTAGGATAGGTTGTTGAGAAAAAATGTATCATCTTAGAGCATGAAATGGCTCCAGAATAATAGTTTCCCTTTGAGATAATAACTTTTAGTGTTGAGAAGATTTCCTTAACTGAGATACTGTTTAGCTCTGCCTAGACTAGCTGTATCCTACAATATTATACCTGGAGTAACCTATCCCGGTTCTGTCAAGGGTTTCTTGATACCGCCATGACAAGCACTGGCAAGTGACAGCCATATAAAAATAAACGATCCGAGCACTGGTTATTTTTTCCGAAGCTAAAATTTCTGTAACAGAGGTTAGACTGGCTGTAGCATACAAAAGCTCATCAGAGATTTTCATGACCCTCGAAAAAAGTTCTCGGGCTTGGGCATCTGAGTCTGGTGCTGGCTGGATATTCCTGACAATGAATGCCTTGTCGCCACCAGGACAGGGCAAGCGTCTACGTTTTTATTGCGAAAATAATCCCAATTTAGGGCTGCACTGTTATTCAAAAGAGGATATTTATTATTAAGCGCAAAAGAAGTTATTTAGATTTACAAGAAGGCGCCTGTCCAGAACAATGCACGCGTGGCTAGCTACAATTCTGAGATAGACTTTGTTCAGAAATGTAGGAAAGGGCATATAAAGAAATTCTTCCAAGGGCCGGTCCGGCAATTTTAAAAAGAGTTGGTGTGGAATAGTAAATATNTTTAGATTTACAAGAAGGCGCCTGTCCAGAACAATGTACGCGTGGCTAGCTACAATTCTGAGATAGACTTTGTTCAGAAATGTAGGAAAGGGCATATAAAGAAATTCTTCCAAGGGCCGGTCCGGCAATTTTAAAAAGAGTTGGTGTGGAATAGTAAATATGACTTTGGTCAGAGTTCCAGAAAAGTGAGAGTAGCTGCCAAGAATTNTGAATAGTAAATATATGACTTTGGTCAGAGTTCCAGAAAAGTGAGAGTAGCTGCCAAGAATTCTTAGAAAGGCTCTATGTCACTTTCCTAAAAGAGTTTTTCTGATGAACGCTAGAATTACAGAACAGGTCCAGTCTTAAATTTTGTATTAAGGACGGGGACTGTATGGCAGCTCCGATTAGTCATTAGACGGAATCTATCCAAAATCACTGTCGAAAATCTAAAATTTTTTCCTACCTGAATGTTTTGAGAAGTTCAATGAGAGTTCATTGAAAATGGTAGTTAGCTTAAAAAAATACACAAAAATGATAATCCGGATTTTGCTAAATATATTATATGTATAAATTTGGTGTGCGCTGTATTATGGTTACAAGAGGGTGCGAGTAAAAAAACAATATATATAAATAGGATTCAAACATTAATCTTCTATCTAGAGACGGAAGTAAAATTCGGCGAGCATAATTTTAACCTTTTAACTCCACGCTTACGGTTGTTTCAGACGCTTTTATGAAGGCGTTCATTAAAAAGTGTTAACTGTGCTTTAACCCTAACTTAACTGTAAGATAGTTATTTTGTTATTTTTCAATGTTATTTTAGTCATTAAAGCCAGCTAAATATTTATGTAAAATATAGTTCACTACATCCGTTAATGTTCTTCCAATGTGAAAATAAAACAGACTTTGATTTCAAATTTTAATAAATAAATATTTTTTTATTTTAAGTATTTTTGATTTTTTCGAAAGATTTCATATTAGATACTAGCTAACTGTAATATACAAATACATCAAGCTCATCAAACATAAATCGCGTCTCTAAGCAACTTAACGAAAATTTCTTTCAAATGTATTGTTAAGTATTTTATTTTTATAATATTTTTTCGTTTTCAATTACTAAATTTCTATCAATTTAATACTATTATTTTTATTTTGCTAATTTCATACAATCAAAGCCATTGCAAAAGCTCCCCTATGAGACTTTCTGCCTAACTCAAGATCACTGAGCGTCACGCGCGTTGCCTGCTTCACGTCATAAGCGTAGTTTACAAATTTTCNTACATCAAGCTCATCAAACAAAAATCGCGTCTCTAAGCAACTTAACGAAAATTTCTTTCAAATGTATTGTTAAGTATTTTATTTTTATAATTTTTTTTTCGTTTTCAATTACTAAATTTCTATCAATTTAATACTATTATTTTTATTTTGCTAATTTCATACAATCAAAGCCATTGCAAAAGCTCCCCTATGAGACTTTCTGCCTAACTCAAGATCACTGAGCGTCACGCGCGTTGCCTGCTTCACGTCATAAGCGTAGTTTACAAATTTTCTTACGTTTTTTTTTTTTTGTTCTTGTTTAGTTATTAACTAACAGCTGTTATAAGCTACATATAATACATACTTAAATATACTATAACTATATACATACAGCCTCCTCTNTTACGTTTTTTTTTTTTGTTCTTGTTTAGTTATTAACTAACAGATTTATGAACTATATATAATACATACTTAAATATACTATAACTATATACATACAGCCTCCTCTGCTGCCGCGCCGCACAACCAGGCGCCCACTCAGCTATCGTTGCGCGCCACCACCGTCACTGGTTTGAGTATCGGTGATACCGTCGCCGCCATCGCTGGCGTCGCTGATTGTGCCGTCGGCGAAATGGGCTGGCCGGGTGAGGCCTGTTGCGCGCCCAGATGTGCATGCGTTGCGCCTATTTGCAGCTGCTGTTGATGTGGCGCCACCGCCGACAAGTGTTGCAAATGTGCTGAGCCGTGTTGCGGATGCTGAACGACGACAGATTGGGGCGCAGGCGCTGGCGCACCAGCACCAGCCAAATGTTGTTGATGCCGCTGATGCGCAGCTATGGCCGCCGCGGCGGCATGCTGTTGCAGCAATTGCTGATATTGCAAACGCTGATAAAGTTCACTGGTTGCCGCTGCAGCGGCGGCAGGATGCGTTTGATGAGGCCCACAGGCGCCCAACAGCCGCTCCATGCCGCTGCTGTAGTTGGCCATAACGGAGGCGGGTGAGTTAGGAGCGCCGCCAAATTGCATAGACATAGGCAGGTTGGCCGCAGCAGCAGCTGCCGCCGCCACCGCCGGACTCTTTGGCATAAACGGACTGTAGCGGTTGTACATGCTGGCCAGCAGGCTGGGCGCCGTAGCAGCGGACGCAGCGGCGGCGGCGGCGGCGGCTTGTTGTGGATATAAAAATTGGCCAAATTGCGCATAGCCCAGACCGGGGAACATGGGACCGATGAGAGATCGTTTGAAGGCGGCGAGGCGTGAGCGTGAAGCCGCGGTAGTGCGTCGCCGCAGCTTACCCGTGGAACCGCCAATGAACACATCCTCGGCCGAGGGATCGAGCATCCAGTAATTGCCCTTGCCCGGATCGTCATAGTGGCGCGGCACCTTCACGAAACACTTATTCAAGCTAAGATTGTGGCGTATCGAATTCTGCCAGCCCTGCTTATTGTCGCGATAGTAGGGGAAATTGGTCATTATGTACTCGTAGATGCCGTTCAGCGTCAACCGCTTCTCCGAACTCTGCCGTATGGCCATCATGATGAGCGCATTGTAGGAATAGGGTGGCTTCTCGTTGCCCTTCTTGTCGCTCGCCGGCTTGCCATCCGCTGTTTTCTCGGCATCGGCGGCGTCACCCGCCGCATTTCCTTCGCCCGCCTCACCCTCCGCATCGCAGTCCACATCCTCCTCTTCGCACTCCTCATCCGCGACGCCATCCAGCTCACCCTCCACATCTTCATCCGCGCCCTCCAACTCGCTATCGGCGCTCTCCTCTGCGTGGATACCACCGCCTATCGACGCGCCTTCCCGCGCGCCACGTCCATTGCGGCGCGCGTATTTACGCTGACCATTTTCCAAACTATGCGCGCTCACCTCACTACCCTCCGTCAGCGGCGGCGGTGACATGCTGGTCACATCGAGATCGGACTCCACCTCGGAGGCGTCATGCTCCTCAGAGCCAAGCGGTGAGTGGCAGGCGTGAAAGTCGACGGGCGGCATGCGTCGGTACTTATCGATATCATGCGGTGGTGGATAGTTTTGTTGTTGTTGTTGCGCGTGTAAGGCATATTGATGTTGCAGCGCTGGGTGCTGTTGCAGCGGATGACTGCTGGTGTGGAGAGGATGATGGTTGTTGTTGTTGTTGTTGTTATTGTGGTGGTGATGATGATGATGCGGCTGGTGTGGCGGTGAACGCTGTGGCGATGGCGGCTGTTGATGGTGATCCTCTAGCGTTTCGGGCAGAATTGCATTGATCGAGAAACTGGACTTTAGGTGGGGCGTGCGCGCCATTTTATAGAGCAGCGAATGCTGCAGCGCGGACTCGGCGAGCGTGTAGGCGGCGGTGTGTGAGGCAATGCTTGTAGGCGCCACCTGCTGCGGCTGCTGTTGCTGATGCTGCAGTTGGTGTGGGTGTTGGTGGTTAGCGCTTTCTTGCTGCGCGTTGGGATTTTGGTTATTATTCTGCTGCTGGCTGTGTATATGTTGGCTGTAGCTGAGCGCTAACGCTTGATGATCACTGAGCGCGTTCGACGGCGGTATGCCAGCAATTTTTACCATTTTCATTGAAATACTTTTATGGCGTTTTGGAATCCAATTTTTTACTGAAATTTTATAAATTTATTTTTTTTTTGTGGAAAAAAGCACTCTACAGACGCGCGCTTTTATTTGCTAAGCGTTGAGACGCGCGCGCTCACATTTGCTGGCGTTTTTTTGTTTTTGTTTTTGATATTTATGCGTGTGCGCTTTTTCAGATAGCAACTAAAAGTCAGAAAGCTACTTTTTTTTAAATTTGTTTTTATAAATTTACACTTTCTTATTCAATTTCCAATTAGCAAAAATTTTTGTTTTTTAATTTCATTAAATTGCGCAAATCATATTTTCTTTGTTTTATGTTCGTTGCGCACTTCATACACAATTCATTCATTCACTCGTTTTCTTCGAAACCGCGCCAGCAACACATCCAACGCGCCTCGTCGTTTATTGTAGACTAAAAATGACACCTCGCCGGCGCAGCTAGCCGCACAAAGGCGGAAACCAGTTTTCCATTCACACATGGACGCCAAGTGACCAAGGGTGTGTGAGTGTGTGTGTGTTTGTGTAGCTATATGTGTGAGTGGAGAGTTCTGCGACCGGTTCGTCTACTCAGCTACATGGCTGCCCGCCGCCGCACAGTGCCGTAATGCATTATAAGCGGAACCGCCACCAACACTACCACCACCATCGTCGTCGCTCTTGCCTGACACTCAACCAACCATCGTTGCGTTTGACTCTTGCAAGCGCCCTACTACCACCATTGCATTCCAATTTCTTTTAGCCAATCAAAATTGTGGATTATAAGGCAGCACCTTAGGCGCGTTGTTGTTGCTGTCCCATTCGAATGCTGCCACCAATGGCAACCAGTCAGCTTGCTTCGCTTTTTATTGGACTACTTTGGTGTGCCCTGCGCTTTTTTCTATTTTTTTTTTATTTTTTTTTATTTTTTGAGTTGTTTAACTCTTTCTTGTATGAGTTGTTGTTGTTGGGGTTCTTGCTGTTGTTATTACCGCTGTCATTGCCGTTTGCACTAATTGCAATTGACGTGCTACTCGTTTGCTGTTTTCAGCGGCGGTATTTTATTGTTTGTTTTTGGGCTACATGCATACAAAAACCTAAATATGTACGTATGTACAGGCAATTATATGTACACTACGTCGCAAAAGTCAGCGAATGACTGAGGACCTTAATGCTACAAAAAAAGGGTGACTACTCCCGATGGACTTGCATAGGTATTTCTTGTTTGAGTTTTACGTCGAAACCATCAGAAGGCCGCTTGGAAAATCTTAGAGCGTTTCTAGCAATGGTCCTTCTATCACCACACAGCACACTCCTGTCAATCATTTAATGAAAGCGTTCCTTAAGACCACTCATGTTGTGTCAAGCCGAAAACCGATTGAAGAGGATCCTGCTTTGAACTTCATTATTATTATTATTATTATTAGAAGTCTAGCACTTTTCAGAGCGTTTTGATCCAAATTTCATAGTCGCCGTCTAGCAAGAGAATCACATTCGCAAAAGCGACAGACGCTTGTTTCTCAAACATTCATTTTACTGAGATTATAGCGAAGGGAACAATGTCTAGTGTAGTACCTACCCAGTGAGAATTTGAAGGTTAATAGATTCGCTTGAAGGGCAGATAAATCGTTTGGGCTGTCTTTGCATTTTGTCTACTTTGCCTACTTTGCTTTGGTGAGCCCACAAAAGGGTTCTGGACCATTAAATACACCTCGTTGCCATCATGTCATTCATGCCCCGGCACCCATTCTAATAAAACAGTATTTTTGGCTCCACGAACGTTTAGGAAATGGAAGCAGTCATATACTAGCAGAGAATTTATTTTGTGGAACTTCAGTGCCAGTATGGCTTCCTGAACGTTCGACATAATGCAGATATACATATATGGAGGATGTGCCTCTTCTATAAAGTATTCTCTGTCACAAATTTCTATTGCATGGTATCGATTTTTTGAAGTTCGGCCCAAATATGCCAGCCCCAGTTTTACCATTGTCAAGTTAGGACCCCTTTATGCGTTGGTGCAATTTTCTTAGTTTTGTGCTTTCGGTTCTTTGTGTAGCCTGGGTTAAAAAAAACAAACAGCGATAACTTAAATAAGATAATAAGAAAAATTGGGTCTATAAAAATTGTGTAAGACACTACTCGTAGATTGTGCTTTGATAAGGGTTTTATATAAGGCTCTTAAAAAGATCATGAATACTCTTTATTCATTCTATTAGAGACCTTAATAGATAATACAGGCCTGTGGTGTTTTTTCCCTTAAAAAACTTTTTATAAATTTGGAGAGGTACTATTAGGTATTAAGCTACGAAAAAAATAAATAAAAAACTTCATTGTCTAAATTTTCCAAGAAAATTTACTAGCACGTTAAATTTTATACAAAATAGATTTCATCCCTTAAAAGCGATGGGTGAAGGTCGTGATTTTCTACTATAGCGTTAACTTCGAAATTTCATAAGTCTTTCTGATGTACTTAGTCTTTATTGGTATCTTTAACTAAAAGTGGTATCTTTCAAGTAAAAATTTAATTTTGGATTACATACCTAATTAATTTTTGTTTTTTTTTCATAAAAAATTAAAATTTCTAAAATATGCATGCCAGCACGTAAAAAACTAATAAGCAATTTGCCTAGGTATTAGGTATGTACTAAGCAATGAAAAAATAACAAAAAAATTCCGTCACATAAATGTTCCGAGAAAATTTCTTTTATGTTTTGCTTAGCGTTACAGCGTATTACTGGCATTAACTTCGAATTTCCATAAGCCTTTCTGATTTACTTAGGCTATTCAGGGTTATTTACGGTTTTTTAAGAAAAAGTTTTTATTACTTTATGGCTTACTTATAATGAAAATTGTTAACAATTCTAAAATATGCATATCATCAATGAAAATAAATTTCGATGTGCTAGGAAAAACCAGGCTGTATTTTAATTTAACAAACCTTGATATTTAAAAAAAAAAAATACATAGGTAATTATTGGAAGAAGGAAACGAAAGTTAAGTTTCGCAGAGCTATTAAATGAAAGAGCAAATACCCTATTTAATGCTCTTCACGTAGACTTTTTAGACTTGGAAATTACCGTTTTGAATGTTTTGTATATGGCTTTGCAGGTGGATTTTTTGGAATTTGTTTAATTCATAAAGGAATTACATAGCATTGTCAAATTCTCCAAGTAGACTATTTTGGAGTTTAATACAAAAATTGGTTTCATAAGTTGGTTCCATAGGTAAAAAATTGAAATTTGTGTTTTCTTATTAGAAGCTTTTTCATGGCAGAAACACACTAGGAGGTTTGTCTTTACCTACCCAGGAGCGACCACTGCTAGAAAAAAACTTGTTTTTTAATTTTTTCACGCACCTCTTACCAATCAGTCACAGCTATTCATAAAATTACGTTCTGAAAAAATGCCGAAAAATTAGACAAAGTCCTAAAATTGCGATTCAATTAACATTTCACTTTCTAAAATACATACATATGTACACATTCGTACCCACAGAAAACTCTCTTGTATTTCTTATGTTGCGGACGTTATTCCTTTTGCCGTTTAACAAATTGATTTCTTTAAAGCGAAATTGCGGTAGGTATTTTGTTAAAAGCTATACTATATGTAGTCCTTAAATTTAAGGCTATTCAGAGCTTTATTTCAAGAATAAGTATGAAATTAGTATATATCTTAGTATAAAATTTTTGAAACAAAATATGCGAGAATTTGCATTGCATGCATTTTTCCGTTTTTTGTTGACTATATCTCGCATTTGTCCAAATCTAATAACTGTGGCAGCCAACTAGTGCGCTTAAAGTGTTTTATTTTCCACACAAAACGTATATTTTATTCTTTCGAAAAATAAATAAAACAAGAATAAATTTATGCTACCAAATCTTAAAATTAAAAATAATAAAATTAAAATATTAAATAAAAATAAATTCTTATAATTATTAAATTTATTTACAGATTTGGAATTTGCCAAGTTGCGAAAATAGGTTTCTTAGCATTTTGCTGCAGAGTAATAAAGAATTGTTTAACTTTTGTATAAAAATATGCTATGTATCTATCTATAAGGAGTTTTTTGCTATGAAAATTCAATTTCTGCAGTTATCTTTTTCTTAAAACTTCCTCCAGATTGTGCAACAGTGAAAATTTATACATTACATATTTATATACATATATACATATTTCATTCTTTTCGTACAACTAAAATTCAATACAGAATACATATGTATGTATACGAAATAACATTTTTAAATGTAAATATTAAATATAAATTATGTACATATTTTAAAATCTGGTTCTGAGTTCCCAGTTTCGAGTCCGCTTGGATGGTAGTTGATCACAGCAAATTCCAGGAAGTATCGAATATTTTTCGACCAAATTGAAAATGTACTGCATTGGCCGTGGTCTCTCAAAGTGTCTTCTCAATTGCTAGTATAAATTCATAATTATTTCGACAAACTTAATCATTCAATTTTTAAATTTCAAAAAATATCCCTTTCCTTTTGCAACACACTATGTAGGTATGTGTACCTATGTAGTGCAGTGCTTGTTTTGAATGTTAGTTGCATTGTTTTTATTTGTTGTGCTCTTTAGCGCATTGCTGCATTTTCTACACACAATATTCCCCACCGCTTGCACTCCGTCGCACACCCACTGCTGGTGTAGGGGTACTCACAATCCACACACAGTGCTTGGAGCACCAACTGCAATGCTGCTTATTGCAATTATTTGTGGCCCAACATAGCGTTACACACACACACACACACACACACACACACACACACACACACACACACACACACACAACACAACAATTTCATCTCTCTCTCGCTCTCTCTTATGTCTTTTTTTAGCATACAGATGTCACGCTCCCTCCCACAGCCTAGCTGTTCATTTTCTTCACAGTCTTCTCACTTCGAATGGCAGCTGTTTTTTTCTTTTCTTTTTTTTCAGTGGGCTCTACTTTTTCATGATTTAGTAGATAAGTGTGTATGTATGCGTTTTTCTCTACACCCCACCATTGTTGTTGCTATTGCCGTTATTATGCCACTGCATGCAGCTTTTATTGGTAGTCTTATTGTGAGTAGTGGAGTGATGATTGCTTTTGTTGTTGGCACTCTTGCTGCTGCTGCTGCTGCTGCTCTTATTTCCATTTTATTTTATTGTTTTTGTGAGGCAGCGTGTAAATGTTTTTGCACATTGCACCATAATTTGTAGTGTTATTTGCAAACTCACGTATCCGCTATAGAAAACACTCTGCACGACAAGGAGGCGGTGTTGGTTGGTAGTTGTTGCTGCTT